GGTCAACCAAGAATTTGGCTGAATGAAGAAACTCTGTGAATGATCAGGTGACTTGGCATAGACGGCAGAAGCCTCAGGATTTCTGCCAGCTCTGTGATTCTAAGTGGGTATGAAAAACGTAAGGCTCACAACTCTTGGGTGAGGGCAACACCATTATTCAAAACTACCACTTTCTTCATGACTGCTGCTATCTCTCTTCCAATTTCCAAAACCCTCTCTGTGCTTAAAACTGATGACCTTGTTTCTTTCTCAAGGAAAAAGTAGAAGTGGACAGAAGGGAACTGCGTCATCTTCCCACCACGAGCCCGCCTCTCTAACTCCAGCTCTGGAAAGACCTGGCGTGGGCTCCCATCTCCTCTTGGCTGCATGAGAATATTGTTAATGTAATTATGTACTTTCTCTCCTGCCTCTTCGATCTAGTCCCATATCTGGGATGATCAGCGAACACCTGCCATTTTATCTCCCGTCTAAGAAACAAACCCTCAGGGCCAGTCCTGAGCTGGATGGAAAGTATAAATCCGCATCCAGACATGGTCTGGAAAGTGATGCTTATCTTTACAGAAGTTTGAAGGAGGACGGTGGTGGCAGCGCAAGTCAGAGGCAGGGAGAGACTATTCAATGAGTGGCTCTGGGACAACTGGTTGCACATGTGAACAGACGTCTGTGATCCCTACCTCACGTTCTACACTGAAATAAGTTCAGGTGGATTGAAGACCTAATTATGGGGAAGAAACTTTAAATTATTAGAGGAAAATATACAGAAATACATTTTTTCAATTATTTTATTGAGATCGTAATGGTTTATAGCATTGTGTAATTTCAGGTGTACATGATTATTTATCAGTTTCTGTATAGACTGCATCATGCTCACGACCACTAGTCTAATTTTTATCTAATTTTATCTAATTTTTATATCATTACATATATATGCCCCTTTACCCCTTTTGCCCACCCCTCAGCCACCTTCCCCTCTGGTAACCTCTAGTCTGTTCTCTTTGTTTGTGGGTTTATCTTCCACATATGAGTGAAATTATCCAGGGTTTGTCTTTCTGTGGCTTATTTTGCTTAACATCATACCCTCAGGGTCCATCCATGTTGTTGCAAATGGGATGCTTTTGTCCTTGGGGGTAGGGAAAAATTTCTTAAACAAGATGAAAAAAATCACATTATATAGTGTAAAAGATGGAGAAATTAAAACATAAAACTTGTGTGCAAAAAAAAAGGAAAACAATAATAATAAGCAAAATAAAAGGCAAGCCCAAACTGACAGAAGGTCTTGATTTCAGTGTACATGCAGAAAAAACTGAATAATATCCAGAATATATAAAACAACCCAACATAAAGTGATTAAAGTGTACAAATTTCCAGATGACCAATAGAGATGTAAAAAGATGTTCAAACCCATAAGTAATCAGTCAGAAGTAAATTAAAACAATTAAAATAATAAATAGATCACATTTCCTACCCACCTAATTTATAAAATAAATTATTGAGTCCGATGACATCAAATCCTCGTGAGGTTGAAGAGCGAGAAAACCTCTCGTACCATCAGCTTGGAGTCGAACTGTGCGCCACGCTGTAGAGGGCTCGTCATCCTCGTCTACTGAAGGTGAGATCGTGCACATCTGTGACTCAGACACTCCACTCCTGGGTTCTCTAGCCAGGAGGAACTTGTCCACACGTGCAAAGGAGACAATAACAGAATGCTCATTGTGCATTGTTTGTGATGACAAAATATTGGGGGGGGAGTTCATCAACCAGAGAATGGGGACTAAATTGTAGCATGCTCACGCAATGAAATAGCAAGGAGCAATTAAAACGGACAGACTTAAACCGCATGTGGCAACATGGATCAGTCTTGAGAACATCATGATGAATGACGAAAGCAAGCAGCAGAAGAATATGCGGTGTGATCTCATTTATACACAAATTAAAAGCATGCTGAACAGCTCTGTGAAATCTATAGAGAGATATATCTATACAGTGTAAATATGAAAACATGCGTGTCACGAGAAAGGGAGTTCCAGAGAAAGCATGAGAGTGGCTTCTCGCCACTTTCTTTTCCTCTTCCGATTGGCAGAAGCTGCAGACCATCCCGTGGGGTCATGGAGGCTGTGGAGGCCGATGGGCCAGAGAGGAGAGGCAGGAGACAGAGCAAAGAAGTGGGTGTTTTCGAGTGATGCTTTTCTCTGCTCAGGAGAACATTAACAAGGGCCAATGAAGATGAGGGCTGCTTTTCCAGATCTTTGATGCCCATGGTCGAACCTGCCAGAACTTAGCACATCCCAGCGGGAGGCCCGGATCGGGCTCACCTCCCCTGCCCACACTGTAGAGCCTTTTCTCTACCATAGCCCAGATTTTAATTGCTTCTTTTTCTCCCCAGTTATTTAATTCTGCAATACAGAAACATCTCCTCTGGTTCCACTTTCATTGCTTTCTTTCTTCTCAATTCCCCAATTACCGCTTTTTCTAACAAAATTTAGTTCAATGACAAAGCAAAAATTAGAATAACCAAATAACATGTACTTGCTTGGTGCTAAAAATTTCTCCTGAAGTTTTTCACTTGATTTCCACCAGAGCCTTATCTTGTTGGGGAGGGATCCTTTGATTACAAATGACAGAATCCCATTGTAAACTAACTCCGACAAAACAAAACAAAGCAGAACAACCACAACATCAACAAGAAGAACCAAAATGCAAAGAGGGGGCTCTGCCGATTGGCTGCCTAGGATGTCTCCACCACCCGGGCTGGGCCTCCCTGTTGTCTCTGGCTCAGCTGACCCACATTTGTCGACTTTGTTTTGCAGTTAGCTCCAGGCCTACATTCTCCAGTTTGCTCTGATTCCAGAGGATAGAGGACTTCTCTCTCCCAGATTCCAGTGTAAAATGCCAAGGAAGGCGATGACCACGCATTGTAGCAAACGCCTGCTCCTGAATCCTAGGTGGCTAGGAGGGGAATTACGCCGCCACCAGCCTGGAACACACACTTCCCCTTAAGACTGGGGCATGGTGGCTCGGAGCCTCCATCGATGGCCTGTCAGGATCACGTGGAGTTGGGGTGGTGGTTTCTTAACCAGAAGCGTGTTTCTATCAGAGGAAAAGGGACAGGATGCTGGACAGACTAAATTTCGCACTACATCATTTAATGGATGGGGAAAAGGGTTTAAAGGCTGGCTTGCCCACATTCACTCACATTCACATATCTGGGAGCCAGAACTTGGACCTAGGTGTGACTGAGCACAAAGATCATGTTGTAAAACTTGTGATCTACTTTTTTTATTGTGATACAAAACACAGAAATTAAACCCACCATCTCAACCATATTGTTCAGTAGTGTTCACTAGATTCTCATTGTGCAACAGATCTCTAGAACTTTTTCGTCTTGTAACACTGAAGCTCTGTCCCCATTAAACACTAACCCTCCTTACCTTCCTCTCAGTGCTTGGCAATCACCATTCTACTTTCCGTTTCTATGATTTTGATGATTTTACATACTTCATATGAGTGGAATCATACAGTATTTATCTTTTTGTGTCTAGCTTATTTCACTGAGCCTAATGTTCTCAAGCTTCGTCCGTGTTGTAGCATGTGACAGAATTCCCTTCTTTTTTAAGGCTGCAGAATATTCCATTGCATATAACACATTCTCTATCTACTCATCTGTCAGTGGACCCTTGCGTTGCTTCCACCTGGTGGCTGTTACGAATAATGCTGCTATGAACATGGGTGCAGACACCTCTTTGAATAGCTTCTTTCACTTCTTCTGGGTGTATATACAGAAGTGGGGTGGCTGGATCATATGATAATTCTATTTTTAACCTTTGTGGAACCTCCATACTTCTTTCCATAGTGGCTGCACCATTTTCAATTCCCACCAACAGTGCATGAGAGTTCCAATTTCTTTGATCCTCACCAAAACCTATTTTCTATCTTTTTGATAGTGGCCATCCCTAATGGGAGTGAGGTGGGTAATACACTTCTTGAGAGAGTTTTTGTTTATTCCATTTGGCCATAGCTCAGATAAGGCTGAGGTACAAAGAGGTAGCTATTCGCAGCACAGCTGGAACATTCGAGGAAACTCCAGCTTCTAATCATGTGTGTGGTGTCCTGGGGTGAGGCCACAGATGAAAGCTTAGCCTTCGGATCAAAGCCCCAGCTTCATCCCCAGCACTTCTGGAAGTGGGCAAGGACCCAGGGTGGTTTACGGGCCTTGTCCAGGAGTGGGCTCACCCCTTCTCCCGCCTCCGTCTCTGTCAGTTGAGACCGTCATATTTTCCTTCAGAGTTCGGGAAATTCCTGTATGTTTTCTTTTCTCTTGGTTAAATAGCTTTTTTTTTTTTTGCCACAGAAAATAATTCATGCAATGTTGTCATACTATCTCTTTAATACTCTGAAGACACAGCAATGGTAAGAACAGAGAGGGAGAAAGCGGATGGATTGCCAAGCCACAGAGAGGAGAAAAGCCATTTCCCGAGATTCTGAATAAATTGCTCTCAAATTCACAAGTATACCAGCCCGTGTCGAGGGTGTCGTAAGGAAGGCTTCCTGACATGTCTGCCATTTGGCCAGAGCGCGGGAGAAGGAAGAGCATGACCGGAACTCCATCACAATTAGCTGTTTCTTCTCACAAACCCAAACATGGAGAATAATGGAAGAGGCACTCCTCAAAGAGAAAAAGAAGAGAAAGGAAAGAAAAAGAGTTCCCACTGGAAAATGTATACATTTCAAAAGGGAGCCCACCTCCTCTTTCAGAGGAAAATGTTTAGAGAAGTTCCCCACACCGCATTTTCATCTTTAATCATTAATTTAGAAACACCTACATTTTGGGGATTGGAGACAACCAGGAAAATCAGCTCAAGACATAAGCCCAGGAAAGAGAGAGCTTTGAGACGCGCTTCCTCTTCTTCCTCCTAGATCTTCCTCCCGGTTCAAGTTCCTTTGTTGTGTATGTTCTTTGTTTCCTTTGGAACTTAGAACCTTTGAAAGAGCCCAACATTGAGCGCAGTCATGGGACACACCAGCTCAGGGATTCCTTTCCCTAACCATACACTTCCAATTTATTTCCCTCAATATTAACTTTCTGTGTTATGAATAATTGATTGACCAATTTAGTTGCAGCTCACACTTCCAAATGATTCAAGGCAAATATGACATTATTGGGCAGGTGGAGTTTGCAAACCAAAGGAGGCTCACTGGACACCTGCTTCTCAACAACACGAAGGGAACATGAGCCCGGACCCTAGCGCTACCGAGGGTGCGGTCAGTCACTGGTGCATTTGGTTGCACAAAATCGTCAGATGCAAGGCCTGGTGAGTAACTGGACCAGGAAATCTGGGGGATCTCCTGGATGTCAACGTTGTATTTACTATGAGACCTCTCCTCGGCTCATGCTCTTTCTTTCATGTCTTATTTTCATATTTTACAGCCAGGGTATTGACGTTCCTTATAACAAAGGAAAACACATCCTCATGTTTAAGCTAACACGTGTCTAGTCACTGCATCCCATTCTTTGCATAGATGGCTGGTTTTAAGCCAGGCAAGAAAGTTGGCTACACCCCTTTTTTCCCCTCTGCCACCACCGTCACCATCAGCTCGGAGGTACCATTTATCAGGCCTGGCTCAGGGGTCCTCTGACTGTCAGCCACACCGAGCTTGCTGTTCTCCAGTCTAATGAGCCTCAGACACCTCCTCACACAAAGGAAGGAAGGAACATTTCCTTTCTCACTGGGTGGTTCCCAGCCGTCTTCTCTGTTCAAAGCGATAGGCGTGCCTGCCTCCTGCAACCATCAGAGTCTGTGCTCGGCTTTCTGAACGATGACGCGAGCCGCCACACTCTGGAGCGGGGCAGAGGGCACTGTGTTCCGTTTTATTTATTTAAGATGCTTGCCAGAGAGGATTCTCTGCCTCCTTGGTTGTTTTCCCACCTCTGTTCTCAAGGTTGGCAGACCCGTTGGGTCACCATGCTCAGTCTTTGGGGTTTGCCACGCCAACGGCGTTGTTCAGAGGGACGCTCCCGCCTCCTCAATGGAGCAGCCACTTCCTGTGCACGCTTATCTCACACTCATATCAAAGCCACGAGCAAACATGGGGCGACCCTAACGGTCACTCGTGAGCTTTCGCTGTGGAAAATGGATCTGTACTCACTGCCAAACAAACCCACTTTAGGCAGTAGGTAGAACCGAGAGTGGATGCAGACGGTCCTTGAGTCTGAGGAGTGGGGACTCCAGGGGTAGAGCAGACGAGAGACAGACTGCCGGGAAATTGGCCCTCGTCAACTAGGGTGATGCACCCTGGCCTTCAACCTCCTTTCTATGACTCACGGAGAACTCTTAGCCTAGATAGCTACCTCTCCCACTTCTGCCTGTGCCGGGTTTCCTTGGCCTCTGCTTCTGCTGTTTCACCTTCCCAGTGGCCAAAAATAAAGATGCGCCCACGAGCTGCCTTGCGTTCTGAGGGAGGACTGAGGCTGCCATGAAGCCCTGGGAGCTCCAATCCTGCTCCGCTCCCCAAAGTCGCCTAGAAACGCTAAACCAGCGCTTTTCAAAACACACTGTGCACACCAAAAGGCTTGGGGATCTTGTCAAAATGCAGACGCTGCTGCAGCAGACCTGGGGTGCCTCCCCTACCCTGAGTTTCTGCATTTCTTACTAGGCGATGCTGTGGCTGCTGTCCTCAACTGCACTTTGAATCCACTACCTTGATTGTCCTGATACCAAGTAGGAACAAAACAGGCCTCCTGGCTATGAGCGTCTCCCACCCCATGCTTCTTACTTTCTTGCCCAGGAGCACTTAGGAAAACAACAACTTACTCAGCGGAGGGAAACCGCTTCCTGTGTTTGACAGAATCTGTCGTGATGAACATGGCCAACACGATGGACCTAATTCTTGGTACCAGGTGGGTTGTCTCTATGCGTGATTCCAAGAGCGAGGCTCTACGAGAATCCCCTTTTACTGATGTGGAAAACTGAGGTTAAGGGGAGTTAAGTGTCTTGCAAGCTCACGGCTGAGCTGGTCCTTGGAGGGAGCATGCCTGGCTGCATTGCCTCACTGAAGGTGACAAGATGTAGTGAGACTTCTGCTTCTGGGAAGATGGAGCCGGTGCACAGCTCCCATTCCTCCTCTGAGTCCAGTAAGAACTCCAAGACCTCTCTCTCTCGATACAGATTTATGTCTATATATGTATATCAAAAACCAGAAGACCCTGAAAGGTGGCGAGCAGAGGCAGACCTCCCAGGGACCGCCAAGAACAACATAGTGATGAATGATTCTCTGGGTTGTTTTGGGGTCTCATATATCCCAGACTGGGGGCACTCGAGAAGCCAGAAACCTGGAAACACTAACAGGTGCAAACCAAAATCCTCCCTCCAGGTCTGCTCTCTCTAACCAGAGGCTCAGGAAAGTGGAAAGCTAGCCGGGCAGGAAACCTTTAGACAGTAATTGCTCAGCTGCAGGCCACCGAAAACCTTTGAGGGCACCTCTACCCACACCAGCAACGGCTGATGGAGGCTAGACTTTTGTCCTCAACGGGCTAGAAGGAGGCACCCCAACACTGGCTCAACATTTGAAAATCACTCCGTGTAATCTATCATATAGACAGGCTAAAGGAGAAAAAACCACTTATAATAACAGGTGACACGGAAAAAACATTGGGAAAAATTCGACGCCCAATTCTGATTAAAAAAAAACCCTCCAAAGTATAGAAATAGAAGGAAACTTCTTCAACATGAAGATGATAATCTATTAAAAAAAACCCACAGTAAACATTATACTTGGTAGTGAAAGACTGAATGCTTTTTACCTAATATTTGGAACATGGCAAACATATGTGCTCTCACCACTCTTATTCAGCATATTGCTGAAGTTGTACCCAATGTGATAAGGCAAGAAAGAAAATAGAAAATACATACAGATATGAAACAAAAAAATTAAACTGCCCTTTTTGCAGAAAACATGATTGTTTACTTAAAAAATCCCAAAGGAATCTACAAAAAATCTCTTAAAACTAATTAGCGAGTTCATTGAGATTGTAGGGTAAGTGATAAACGTACAAAAATTAATTTTATTTCTATATATGATACAAAATACAATACCAGCAATGCACACTTGGACATCAAAATTAAGGGACGATATCATTTGCAAATAACTAGGTATAAATGCAGCAATACACATCTAGGACTCACACGCTGAAAACGGTAAACACTATTGAAATAAATCAGAAAAGATCTGACTAAATGGAGACGTATGTTGAGTTCACGTGTGGGAAGACTCAACATTGTGGAGAGGTCAATTCTTCCCTAACAACAGGCAGGCCTCGCACAATTCCTATGAAAACCATAGCGAGACTTTTGTGGCTCTAGACAAGATTATTCCAAAATTCACGTGGAAAGGCAAAGGGAACAGAATAACTAAAACAACTTTGAAAACAATAAAGTAGGAGGAATCAGTCTCCTTGATTTCAAAACGTATTATAAATCTGCCATAGGTCAATAGAACAGAATCAAGACCTCGGGAATAGACCGTCACAGACGTGCCTGGCCGGTTTCTGACAGACGCAAAAACATTTAAAGGAGAGAACTGAACTTCATAAAAATAAAACTTTTGCTCTGAAATGACCCTTTAAAGAGTAGGAAAATTTCAGAGGCTGGGAAAATACGTCCAAACCACATAGCTGACACAGGATTAGTATCTAGATTGTTCAAAGAACTCTCATAAGTCAACTGCAAAAAACCAAACAACCCAATGAGAAAATCGGCAAAAGTCATGAAGAGACATTTCAGCAAAGAGAACATACAGCACGTGAGGAAGAATTTTACATCCTCAGCCATTAGGAAACTGCGAATTGAAACCACCACAAGATCACACCAACGGCATACGGCAAACACCGATTAGAGTGGTTAATTTAAAAAATAGGGACAACGCCAAATGCAGAGAAATGGGCCCCCTCATGCGCTGCTGGTGGGAATATCAGTGATAGAGTCACTCTGAAAAGCCGCTCAGCAGTTTTCTATCAAACTAAACACGGAGTTAGCATGTGCCCCAGCAGTTGCACTATTGGGCATTTATCCCAGAGAAATAAGAACTTATGTTCACACAGATCCTGTGTGTGAATGTTCGTAACAGGTTTATTCACAACAGCCCCAAACTGGAACAAACCCACATGTGCTTTAACAACTGAATGGTTAAACAAACATGGAATACCGTTTAGCAATACAAGTAATGAGCTATTGAATACGTAATAACATAGTTGCACCGCCGGAGAACTACGCTGAAGAAAAAATCCCAAATGTACATAGGAAATCATCCTATTTATATAAGCTTTTTGAAATGACAAAAAGTTACACAAATGGAGATCAGATTAGCAGTTGCCAGGGGTTAATGAGGGATTAGCGGCAGTGAAAAGATGGTGTGCCTATAAAAGGACAACGTGAGGGATTCTCGTGGCCACGGGGGTGCTCTGGCATTTAATCAAGGTCGGTCTCCTGGCTGTGAGATTGTGTTATAGTTTTGCAAGATGCTACCATTGTGAGAAACTCCGCAAAGATTACAAGGAATCTGTGTTATTTCTTACAACTGCATGTGAATCGACAATTATTTCAAAATAAAATATCTAATTCTTAAAAAATTCACTGATATAATTGGTTTTTAAATACCTGATATTAAAAGCATTTCTGAACTCCAACCTCATTTGGATTAAGTGAAGACAGAGGGTTTTCGGTAACATAACCCAAGAAGAAATCAAATTTGGCTTTTGCACGTGACCAGTCAATATTTGAAATATGCTTCCTGGCTGGGCCAAAAAAATGTGCCTTCAGTGAACTGGAGAATGCAAATTCTGTCTTTGAAATTGTCCTGGGACTTACCAAAAAGAAAAAGGAAGTGCAAGAAATTGAAAAGAACTATCTACCAAATAAGCATAAAAGTGAAACAAAAAATATCTTGTGGAAAAAGGACTCTTAGAAGCTGTTGATCCTCGTGTGTTTGCTAGAAATGAGTAAACCTCATTTGTCTGGCTTATATTGAGAAAGTTTGACTTAAAATCTAGCTCTGGGGCCGGCCCAGTGGCGCAGCAGTTAAGTGTGCACGTTCCGCTTTGGCGGCCCGGGGTTTGCCGGTTTGGATCCCGGGTGTGGACATGGCACTGCTTGTGAAGCCATGCTGTGGTAGGCGTCCCACATACAAAATAGAGGAAGATGGGCACGGATGTTAGCTCAGGGCCAGTCTTCCTCAGCAAAAAAGAGGAGGATTGGCAGCAGATGTTAGCTCAGGGTTAATCTTCCTCAAAAAAAAAGAAAAAACCACACTCTAGCTC